CTGAACTGAGCGTTTGTTATTTTTCTTTTTTCTGTCTTAATGTTGGCAGTGGGCTTTAGGCTGCCCTGCAAGGCTTTAAACCTGGGTTTAAATGGAGACTAAGCCATTCTCAAGCACATATCAAGGTGCTCATTTTGAGCCTGGATCCAGATTTATTGTTGATTCTGTTCATGGTGGAGAATCCTGCTTCACAGCAGCAGGTTGAGCCAAACATCCTCTAAATGTGCAGGGTCATCTTTGAGCACGCCATTTCACTTTTCTTTCACCAGTTCACCGCAGTTCTTCCAGCAGTCCACACTTTCTCTGCTCTCTTTTTCTCATGGTTTTCTCCTTCTTTCCCATCGCCCGGCTTGCCATAGGTTTGCCTGCTGTGTCTAAAAGTAGCAGCAGCAGCAACCCAGACTGACAGCTCATTGGCTCATTTGGATCACGTGCAGCCTGGAGCCGGACGCTCCGGAGGGCTTTACCGTATTAACAGGAGAAGCGGCGCAAGTGAAATTAGACACTGCCGTCGGATAACATGCGGTAATTTATAAATGTTTTAAATCACATTGGGGTTAGCTTGTTAGCTTCCCAAAATCTGAGGGTTTCTAAGCTCATTTTCAACAAGATAACAGAGTTAATTTTATTAATTTGATGAATACATCTCAAGTTCTATTGAAAACGTTCACATTTACAAATATTACAATTTTTTAACATGCTAAATTTGTGGCACTTTTGGCTTTCCATACTTCTGCTGTTCGATTGCTGCTATTTACAGACTTCTGTTTGTGTTAAATGTTTGCATTTGAGCACCAAATGTTATGGTCAGCAGCTGAGTTAGTACGATAGAATCTTCCTTCTATTCATAGATTCAGATGTAGAAACAATTTAGAGTCAATTCAGTCCAGATTAGAATCAGCATAGACCCTTTAGGGAATAGTACACCCAAAACATGATTAGCCTTCATTTTCTACTCACCCCCATGCTGAACAACACTCTGGAGTACTTTTTTAATATCTCAAATGCATCTGGAGATCTGGGAGGCTTTTTGCTGTCTGCTGACATTCAAATAATGGAGGTCTATGGCGCCCGAGACAGAAAGGTCCATAAAAGTCCAAAAAAACGTGTCAATATTCCTCCATACTGCTCGTCCAATGTATTCCAAGTGTCCTGAGTGGGTAGCATCCATAATTTACTCGAAACGAAGTCATTTAGAATGTTGTTAGAGCATAAACAGTAGTGTATAGGATTTCCTGAAAGCGCGTTCACGACGCTACGGAAACCGCGGCAGACCAACCCAGATGAAAGTGCGCATTCAGCGTCTGCTTTGCCGATAATGCAAGCGTAGAAGAAGAAATGTGCTGTTTACCTGTGCAAAGAAAGAAACAACGAAAGAAAAATGTCTGAGGACTTCAGTGTTGAGGAAGAGCATGAGTTCTTTGCCGAGCTGAATGCGCACTTTCATCTGGTTTGGTCTGCCGCGGTTTCCATAGACTCGTGAACGCGCTTTTAGGAAATCCTATACACTACTGTTTATGCTCTAAAAACATTCTAAATCACTTTGTTTCGAGTAAATTATGGACGCTACCCACTCAGGACACTTGGAATACATTGGACGAGCAGTATGGAGGAATATTGACACGTTTTTTGTGGACTTTTATGGACCTTTCTGCCTCGGGCGCCATAGACCTCCATTATTTGAATGTCAGCAGACAGCAAGAAGCCTCCCAGATCTCCAGATGCATTTGAGATATCAAAAAAGTACTCCAGAGTGTTGTTCAGCATGGGGGTGAGTAGAAAATGAAGGCTAATCATGTTTTAGGTGTACTATTCCTTTAATCATAACTATTGGACCTGCAAAAAAAACACTAAAAATCCCAAACCCAAGCTGCTGAGTTTAATAACACCATCATAGTGCTATCAAAGATCTAGACCAAAGTGACGGAGCAACTTTCTGAGCCAAACCTCTGCTCACTGAATGACAGCTGGTAATATGGCAAGAATTCTGTGCTTTATCTGAGCTGTTTAATAAACTCCAATTATCTATGGCAACCCATTTTATGAGAAAATTTAAAGAAAAAAACAATCGGAGATTTTATCTAATATCAAATTAATGTATTTCTTCACAAGCATTTTTTGGAAAAATAAATAAATAGAAATAATAAGTGTTCTTGGCCTGATGTTGACAGTTGGAGGGATGCCCCCCCCCGCCCCTGTCAGATAGTATGCTCACCTTTGGGAAACAACTTCGAAATTTTATCAGCACAGGTCACTAAGGACAACACTGCAGCTAAAACGCTCTCCTAACTTAGCTGCCCACAGACCAAAAGTCTCCTCACCAAAATAGAAACATTAGCACTCGGATGTTTCAAGACAGACAAACAAGTGACCACCAACGCACGGTAGAAATATAACACTGGTATTTTGTTCTGAACTCACAGGCCAGTCATTCCAGCTCTAACCACACCATGTCGGTAGCCCAAGGGACAAAGTGGAGACCAGTTTTTACATGAATATCACTTCTCCTTCTGCTCTTAGGCTGGTTTTACACTTCTGTTTTCACAACCAGGGCTCAGAGGTCAAGAGAAAATAGATACTTCTGCTGACAAAGTTATGCAGAGGAACTTCCCACATCCCCCCTCCGTTCATTCAAACCTCTGCATGACTCGACCACTTGTGGAACTTTGGTTTTACCGTCTAGGGAACACGCCTGTCCAGCATCATAATATGCTGTTTCAGGACAGGTTCAGACAAGAACTCTTCTCCAAGTTGGTGTTTGTAATATGCCTCTCACTACAAATGTGTAGAGGAAAAAAAAGAAAAAAAGCCCATAAATCTTCTGCTATACTGTGCAGAACATCTCACTCCAGGCAACCATCTGATTTTATACTTTTCATCCTGCTTTGAAAGACCAGTTGACTTAAGGATTTTACTCGCTCTATTAGATTCACATCACATGGCTCCGATGAAGCACATGAGTTCAGAGGCTGGGGGGCCCATAACTGACATGAACAGAAAAAAAGGGACAGTGTTAAAAACTGTAGAGAGCATTCATTCCTAAGGGACGATCCTACATGAAGCCTCAAGCAATTCCAAACTCCAAAAGTGTGCTGCTGACACTCAATTTATAGTGTGATTAACTCTTAAAGCTACAGTGTGTAATAATTACAGGGATATACAGTCAGAAATGTAATATATTATACATAACTATGTTATTTATCATCATCTACGAGCTCAGCCTCTTAACCTTAATATTTGCGTTGCCTTAGAATTCGTTATTTATAATTAAATAGGAGCCGGTCTCGCAGCCATGGAGGCAGACATCTTTGCGCTACGGCAGCGCAGAGCCAACAAACTAGCGATTGCGAGATCGCCCATTACGCTCGAAAGTAACTACGGCAAGTTGAGAGAGATGAACTGAGACGGTACTGAACAACAGATGGCAGTATTAAAATTATCTATGTAAACAAACCTCATCACTTGAGAAGGTAGGTGATGCGGACGTCATGGAAGACATTTTGTTCCGTAACACTCGCCGTACTGTTGGGGGGGAGATGCTCATATTGCTGCGGTCTGAACGTTAGATGTCGCTGAAAATTACACACTGTAGCTTTAACTGTAAAATTAATTTTATATAAGAGGGATGGGCGATATATTTCGAAATTTTAGAAATGTCAAAATTTTTTCAAAAGAGATACAGATTGATACTAACCTGACTCCGCCAGATGGATTTGCTCCGCAAATCCATCTGGAAACCTTCCGTTGAAGTAATTTTGGGAAGGGGTGAAAATACTGGTTAGCTGATTGGCCTATGTTGGTGATAGACGGGCCAAATAAACCAATCAGATCAACGACGCAAATGACGTACTAACAGAGCGACGACGAAAACACAACCACAAGCCAGGCTACTCTTGCCGAAACCAGTCGGGAGAAGAGCAAAAACATCTTTTCCTCTGAGAAAAGCCTCCAGAGCAGTCTTTTGCTCTTCTTTCAGTGAAGAAATACTCTGTAATTCCGATAAAACTTGCTCGATAGCCACGCTAATGCTAGTTTCATCGGCTGAAGCCGCCATGTTCTTTAGACTGAACTGTCGCGCTTCTCGTTGCGTCACACCTCAACCCGCCTCAAAGCCAACGCTGATTGGGCGTTCGTTTGGCGAACGGCTCCAAATTTTCTTTAACGGAGAGTCTCCAGACTGATCTGCGAGTGAAATCTTGAAAGCTCGCAAGATCAGGATGGTCTCACGAGGCTATGTCTTCTCAGCATTTTACCAGAAAGTTCTGTCATCAGCTGCTTTCTCTCGTCTACTACTAATCTGCCTGCCTACTATTTCAGTCCATCAACATTAGAGATAAGAAAAAATATATTTTTAAATATGACACTGTGGCTGATTATTGGGCTACCAGAAACATTTGATTATAAGACCTGCTTTTTAAGAATAGCTTTATGAAAGGAAACCCATACAGAGATAAATCTAGCTTAAAAATAGCAAAGCCCCTTTTATGTACAACGTGAAATGCTGTTGATTTTAATTAAAATACGGTGATTTATATGGGTTGTGTCCATTAAAAAAGCAAGAACAGGACATCTACAGATGCAGTAACAACCATGGGAATATAAAGAGACTTTACGGCATTCATTTCCAGGAAGCACCTGCACAACAAAAGGAAAAATATATAAACAGAAATTTCCTCATTTTTGTGTGAGGCTTGGTTTATTCAACTCATTGGCTAATGATTTATGTTTTTTTTCCACATATTTTAGAAGGAATGCTAAATGAATGTTTGCCTTTCGTTTTACCTTTATATCCTTACTTTTATTCCATGCCACAAATCAACTCAACAAGCACCCAAACAATGAAATCCCTCACAGACCACCCAAAGCTAAAGCCGTCCAATTTCTCTACACAAACCCAACCGAGCTTCACCTTAAATCCTCATCATGTCCTGAAACAAAGCTACAGCGACTCTAAGTTTGCTGACATTGCTAAAATATCACCAATGAAAGTGGCGGCTTACTTCAAACACCAGAGTCTCGTTAGTGGGGCCAGCGGCGTAAAGGCTCTCCGGCTTGTTGAAAGAACGCTGATAATTGAAGACAGTCCCACCAAAATAGAACCGCCCTGGCCAATCCACAGTCCAATCCCTGGTCAGGTAGTACTTTTTCTTCAGGGAACGGACAGCCAGGTAGCTGGTGGACACCTCCATTTCCTGGACATGGATGCTCCTTGCTCCAGCTGGCACTGTCACCATAGAGTAATACTCTGGGAAAGGATGTCAGGAAAAGAGTCACCTGTAAAAATTTATTTACTAGCGGCTCTGTAAGTCCTACTTTTTACTTAACCAGAATAATAATATTCTTTATATGCATTTAATCTTTTGTTGCTCATTATCTGCTGAAATGCAAGGCTTTCTCACTTATATATTAAGCTAAACTGCACAAACTAAGTGGAACTTACCATTAGCCCGGTGCTGAAGTGTGTACTGGCCCTTTAAAAACTTGCAAGTGGAGTTGTCTCCTTTACAGACCCCACAGGCATCAAGGGAGGCCTTGGAACCCAATATGCCATCACAACCCACAGCCTGAAAAGATTAATATGTTTTGTTTTACAGGTATTATGTCGAGCATACAATACAGCAGACCTTAAAAGTGTTGACAAAGCTTCTAAAATCCAATCCTGTGAACTTTACAATAAAAAAACAATAGTTGGAAAAAAAAAAGGTACTAAAACCCGGTTGTAAATCAGTCACTCATTTACTTTAGACCAAATTTTAGTACTCAGCTCCCAGAGTAGGAGCTTGTCAACATTCCACATCTTAATATTGGAACATCTGATCTCTCTGTTTTCCTGAATATTGCCAATTCACTCAGGATGGGAGAAAATGTTTTGTGCACAGCCCACTTAAAGTTAGATTTAAGCCCCAAAATCCTCTCAGATCTGTGGGCTTAAACTTCACTTCCACATGAAGAACAATAACTCCTGCTCCATTATGCTGTTACCAAACTATTTAACTTTAGATATAGTCCCTGATCTTCAAATATTCCAAATAACAAGCTAAATGGCAGGATTTTTTTTTTTTTTAAAGGTATACTATGCAACCGGTGTTGATTTTCCAGCGAGGCTCCCCCCAGAGGGCGGAAGTAAAAGTGCACCGTCGTAAATATGCTCAGCTGTTCTCCTGGTTTCTCCGTCAAGCCAGGCGCGGTTGTTTTGAGCTTAGCAGACAGGCGAACGCAACGAATCACCATGTCTACTGCGGTAAGTGACTATTTTGTTCCGATTTTCGAGTTTGAAAATTTAGCATGTTTTCATACATTATTTGTTATGCATGTGTCTAAATAACAAAGATTGTAGTTAGCCAAGTTGGAGTTCCCATACATTTATCCGACTGTCGTTGGGGGAAGGGGGTTCTGATTTCTGTGGTTTTGTACCTCGCGCACTGAATGGGCTTTCGCTGTTTTCTCGCTGGTTCCGCCATGATAATTGCACAAATATCACCACTGCGCTAGCAACAAGCATGACTTTCACTGTGGGCGTGTAGCACTTCTCGACGTAAAGCAAGACCGACCCTCGCGATGCACGAGACTTCTGAGCCTGTGGGTGCGGGCCGAGGGCTCCTGCAATTGCAAGTACTGTATTTCCCCTACAGACCACCAGGGCGGCCGAGAAAACCTTTGTTCGTCCTGAAATGACTCATTTAATCATCCAAAACGTTATGGAACACATTAATTAACTGAAAAATGTTGCATAGTATGCCTTTAAATGATAGAACATGAAAAGTATGTTATTAAATTAAAGAAATACCCCAACTTTTACCCCAACTTGATTCTGAGACATTCTTTATAAGTCCTAATGCAAATAAAAACCTAAAATAAAATAATGAATTTACCTCACACACTCCGTCAATGCAGACACCTTCTCTCTGGCTGGAGCAGGAGGTGCCGTCTTTCACTTTGCTCGACATGGCAAAGAAAAAGTCAAAATCTTCTGCAATGCAGTAGAGTTTACAGATGTCCTCCTCTGCAGGGAAAGAAAAAAATGCTATGGAACACTCTTTCTCTTTGACCAGGAGAGTTTAAAATGGAAATGAAAGAAATTGGCAATAGAAGCACTTTGTGGGCCCATTGGTTTATTTTCAAATTCAGCTCAGTAATCACAGAAAGGCCTCCAAGGTCCCCTCTGATTAAAACAAATGATGGTGAAGGTGACTTGGACCAAGAACGAATCTGTTCTTCTCCACATGGTCCCTTTCATTCATGAGCAGTTTAAACCAGACTGAGATGACAGCAAAGCTCTTCCTCACCACACTCCCTCTCCCTTTCACGGTGTAACAAAGCCAGCCTGCAGGCTTTCCTTTTGTAAACCTTTCCTTCTGTTTGAGGCTACAGGTAGCTACATGTTTCCCATGCATAAAAAAAAAGAACACAGCAATATTTTCCTGCAGCTCTGTGACTCTGATTATTGCAACAGGAAATAGTTTTCTTTTTAAATTCATTGAAAGGGATCAACAATCACTTAACACAAAAAATACAAATGCATGTCTTTAATCAGCTGACATCCTTACCGTCCACTTTGGTGTAAGGCTTCCACTTGTAGTACCAGCCTCTGAAGGGTTTGCTGTTGTACTCAGCACACTGTTGGGCCCGGAAGTCCAACGCATTGAAAGGGCAGGGCCGAGTGTTACACAGCTGGTTGTGTCGACTTGATCCCGGGCAAAATCTACCATTGTTTTCTGGCCTGGGTTGAGGATACAACAAGGTATATTAATAATGTGTTGCTGGCGGTCCATCAATGGCAAGTAATATGGAGCTTAAACAGATTTATTGCAAGTTTTTACTGAAAAATATCTTTTCATTAGCTTTTCTATTTGACCCTTTATGATTAAAACATTGTTTGATGTGCAAACTGACGCCTCAATAGTTCTGCACTGATGCATCTATAAGCCTTTTGCTTATTTTCCTTGAATGTACTTCAGGTCTGAAGTTCCCACCCTGTTGTGCGGATGGATCTAACTTGGCAAACGATCAAAGTGTTATATTTAAGTTTGATTTTGTGGATACTCAGAAGCAACTGGCATTAAGCCAACTCAGACAGCAATGGCAACGCCACGTCAGGTAAAAAAAAATCCAAAAAACATTGAAAGAAGTCAAACTTGGTAACGAGCTACGAGAACGTGCAGAAGTGTGCTGCAGTTCTGTGTTTTGGCCAAAGATGGCAGTATCATTTGAAAACTCTGTAATGCCTCTTTGGTCAACTTCAGTGTAACAGATTATTTTACAAGAAAGATGGGAGGCATTTAGACAAGAACAGCAACAAAATCTGTTTAGAATTGTTTCCAGCATTTCTTGAATGAAAGATTTCCTATTCTGCATTAATAGTCTTTTTATTGATAATAAATATAGATATTGACGACGCATTGACTCCAGCTATTAATATTTGACATAATATCAGGGAAGCACAATATTGAAATTTAGGCCAATGTTCGTTAAGTTGATATTTTCCAGGCTTTGCAAATAACAGTTCAGGTATCTCTTTCTGATACTTTAAAAACAATTAATACCGCCAACATTTTTTTTAGCATGTCTTCTGTAACAAACTTATGCTTCAATTGGGAGCTTGTTATCTGCTGGTGCAGGCAGAAGTTTCACTTGTTTGTGACAAAAACAGTACCTATTAAATACACTGGTAGAATGGCCAATGTTTGATATCTAGGTTCTGTCCAAACATCTACCCCAACCCCTAAATCCTTCAATCAGTATATACACTCACCGGCCACTTTATTAGGTACCCCATGCTAGTAACGGGTTGGACCCCCTTTTGCCTTCAGAACTGCCTCAATTCTTCGTGGCATAGTTTCAACAAGGTGCTGGAAGCATTCCTCAGGGAGTTTGGTCCATATTGACATGATGGCATCACACAGTTGCCGCAGATTTGTCGGCTGCACATCCATGATGCGAATCTCCCGTTCCACCACATCCCAAAGATGCTCTATTGGATTGAGATCTGGTGACTGTGGAGGCCATTTGAGTACAGTGAACTCATTGTCATGTTCAAGAAACCAGTCTGAGATGATTCCAGCTTTATGACATGGCGCATTATCCTGCTGAAAGTAGCCATCAGAAGTTGGGTACATTGTGGTCATAAAGGGATGGACATGGTCAGCAACAATACTCAGGTAGGCTGTGGCATTGCAACGATGCTCAGTTGGTACCAAGGAGCCCAAAGAGTGCCAAGAAAATATTCCCCACACCATGACACCACCACCACCAGCCTGAACTGTTGATACAAGGCAGGATGGATCCATGCTTTCATGTTGTAGACGCCAAATTCTGACCCTACCATCCGAATGTCGCAGCAGAAATCGAGACTCATCAGACCAGGCAACGTTTTTCCAATCTTCTATTGTCCAATTTCGATGAGCTTGTGCAAATTGTAGCCTCAGTTTCCTGTTCTTAGCTGAAAGGAGTGGCACCCGGTGTGGTCTTCTGCTGCCGTAGCCCATCTGCCTCAAAGTTCGACGTACTGTGCGTTCAGAGATGCTCTTCTGCCCACCTTGGTTGTAACGGGTGGTTATTTGAGCCACTGTTGCCCTTCTATCAGCTCGAACCAGTCTGGCCATTCTCCTCTGACCTCTGGCATCAACAAGGCATTTCCGCCCACAGAACTGCCGCTCATTGGATGTTTTTTCTTTTTTCGGACCATTCTCTGTAAACCCTAGAGATGGTTGTGCGTGAAAATCCCAGTAGATCAGCAGTTTCTGAAATAGTCAGACCAGCCCTTCTGGGACCAACAATCACGCCACGTTCAAAGTCACTCAAATCACCTTTCTTCCCCATACTGATGCTCGGTTTGAACTGCAGGAGATTGTCTTGACCATGTCTACATGCCTAAATGCACCGAGTTGTCGCCATGTGATTGACTGCTTAGAAATTAAGTGTTAACGAGCAGTTGGACAGGTGTACCTAATAAAGTGGCCGGTGAGTGTAGAGCGGGGCTTTATATAGTAAACTTCATAGTGAACACAGTTGACTAACCGTTGGACAGAAAATCACTACTTTTAGCTCGAAATTGGTCGCGTAACTACGCCTCCCTGCACAGTGCCTGCGCCAACATTGTTATTTGTCACCGCTATCGGGTAGCGACAGCCGTAAGCAACAGCGGGCCGCTGTGACAACAAATCCCATGAGGCATTCTGGGATACATTTGCTCATCTAGTGACATAGATGATCACTAACCATTATATAGTGCCTATATAATGGTTAGAGCGGACATTTGGACACAGCCTTAGTGTTAAAGCCAATAACGGTTGATATAAATAGCACATTGATAATATCTTTCATCCCTACTTAACATAGGAAGGTTTTTTTTTACAGGTATAGCCAGGATTTCAAATGGTCTCTACCCAAACTGTCCTCTGTAAAACTGCTGAATTTGTCTGGCAAAATACCAGATTTTCCAGACTATAAACTGCGACTTTTTTCCTACACTTTGAACCATGAAGATAGAGCTTTTCAGTGGATTTTTCCTAACAGTTAGGGACTAATTGTGATTAGTCAAAGAGTTCTTTTCTTTTTCAAGATTTTACTGTCATTACGTTATCACAAGTACAGAGTAATGAAATGAACTCTCTGCATTTAACCCTTCCCATTGGGCAGCAGTGAGCTGCTCTTGTGCAGACGGGAAACGCAGAACCTCTGGTGTCAGGACTCCAGTCTATGTGTTTGTTTTTTGTGTTGTTCTCCCTTCCACCAGCAGGAGGCGCCTCGTTCTGGTGCGCCTCCTTACACACCTGATGATGGTTACCTCGTTAACGGAGTGCTCTTAAGCTGCTGATTGCCACTACCTCGACGCCAGAGTGTTTGCCAGTTTCTGGTACTCTAGCCAAGCTGAGTTTTTGCTGAGTAAGACTGAGTTCTTGTCTACCTGAGTTTTAACTTCGTTTTTGTCTTTGCCTCTCGGCAGGAAGTCATCCTGCAAACTGGACCTTTTCGGACCTTCTCTCCCTGGAGGTTTGGATCCACTTTTCCCCGAGGAAAGGTTTGAGTTTACTCTCTGAGCAAGGGAATCATCTCCACAACGACCCGTTCAAGTACAGCAGGAAATCTGAGTGGCAGTCAGTTTCTCCGTTCACCAACAACCATCCGAGTTCTGGGTAAACCCTGTTCCGCCCTCCACTGAATCAGAATAATACTGGAAAAAAGCACACAGATTGGAGTCAAAGCTTCTACAACTTCTCTGGAAACGTGGGTCTACAACCAGATCCTCTTCTCCAAATCCACAAATGAAATTTCCCACTGAGCCTGAACTAATTGTTTGTCTTCCCTTTACCTTCCAGTTCCGGTCGAGCTCTGCACCGTGCCTTATCTCTTCAATAAACCTGTTAAACCTTTCCCCTGCATGTGGGTCCGAGCTTTAGATAAAATCATGACATCTGGGTTCTAAGCTCTATGCTCTAACCACTAGGCCGCCACTCCCTAATATGTACTTATGATATAAAAATAATGTTTTGCCCAAATCTATAATCTAGCTGATGCTACAACAACTAGGCCACACATTTCACCATTTTGATTTGTAAATCTCATATCCACTTCCATCTTTTTTACAGTTATACACCATGGTTAGTTGTTCTGTCCTAGAAAAATTCGCTGTAATTCGAGTTATAACATCAGGTTAAAAGGTTTAAGGAAAAGGAAACCTTAGCAGTAAGATGCTTTAAATCTGTACTAAACTATGTTTTTCAAGGGGCCAGTCTGTCTAATATTATGGTTTGTAACAGTGAATAAATATGGGAAATAGAAGTAGGAATCAGAAGAAAATGGAAGTTTGAGATTATTTTCAATCTCAATTAAACAAAATCCCATTTGTCCTATTGTAAAAAAAAAATGCCAACACAAGCACATGAAAGGATTTATTAAAGAAATCCTTTCAACGGCATTTGATAAGCAGTGACAGCCTCTCATCTGAAGCCATGTTATCCTGCTCTTATGGAGCTCTTTTTGAACTGTAAAAAATACCTCTTGTTACACCATAGGAAGCAGAGCTTCTTAACAAACAGCAGGCTGCCATGTCTGACTTCCCAGGCTTTCTAAAGTTCTGCCAAGCATTCCCAAACAACCACCAACAGAGAAAATTGAGTCTGCCTGTTTACCAAAGTGAATTGGACACGCACGTAAACACCCACACAGCCTGGGGAACCGCGCTGTGTCTAATAAAAATAACAGCTTACAAAGACAATCAAAAAAAGTAACAAAAATTAAGAGAAAACGTTTAAATTTTCTGCGGAATCACTGTATATATCTGTGTCCACGGCATTGGGAAGGAAATTCTCAGGGTGACAGTTTGCCTGCATTTTTCTTCAAACTCAGCTTGGTATTGCCTCCGTTTGGACCTGCACTCAATCACAAAACCACTTGGCTGCCAAAAATGATGAAGCTCCTTCATGGTTTGAGAGCATGTGAGCAACCTGCTCTGTGCCGATCTTCCTCCCTTCAGTGAGATGGGGGGGATTTCGGTCCTGGTTTTCATAGTCCTGATCCTGTTAAGACTTAGCCGCACACAAACACAGACCATATGGTAAGGTGCTTACGGCAGCCCAGTGGGGAACTCCACCGTATACACCATCAGTCAAGTCATCCTAATTAGAGCGTAGAGGATGCTCCATTTCATATGGAGCAGAGTTAAATCCTCGTCCACTCCGATCCTCTTTGTTTTTTTTTCCGATCCCATTATAAATCTTC